AAGGCAATAATAGTGTAATTCTATTGATATTGTCCAAAAGGAATTATGCCATATGATCTATGCATGGTTTTTTTCATTGCAATTCGCAAGCATTCTAATGCAATTACAAATTGACTTTAAATTTATACTGTAGATAATTTATATTGTCACTGAAAGATTTATGTGAATTAAGTTAGAGATTTGTGATGATATATAAATTATGATTGTTAATAAAATTGCTTTTCAAAAATAAAGTTATTGTAGATAACTGTGATAATGTTTAATGTGATCGACGCATGTTAAAAAAACCCTTGGATTGCCAATATAATTAGCGGTTAATGAAACAAGTTTTAAATCGGATCACATCAATATCCTACAGTCACTAGTAGCCTCAAAAAGAAAAGGTCAAAAAATTACTTATTTAAGTCAAGAAACAAATAAATGGGCCTAGTGACCAACCTGGTCAAGTCTATGTTGGGCTCTCTTTGATGCCTGCAGCCTGCTCTGGATCCCAACTTGAATTGCTAGCCCGTCCAGGTGATCAAAATGCTTCCTCAGGCACTGTATTCGGGCTAGATTTTGGTAGGCTTCGGTCGCATTCTAATCCAGTGCTACTGATTTGTGACCTTGTTGAACTAATATCACTTTTCTTGACTGGAAACAGGCTACAAATGATCTTCTGCATTTCCTTTTGGAAAGTAACGAAAGATATTAGGAAATTCAATTTCCTTCTTGGGGCAAAACATAGAGTAGTCGTATATGTACAGAAGATTTATCTATGGAAGTGCCATGAGGTGTACATGCAGTCAAATATTGGAAGGAAATCATATTCCTACATAAATGAGACATGCAATGAATAGCTTAATAATTCCATCTTCCTCGTTTTCTTTAGGTGCCAACAGCTAGACCAATGTCAAAATGCAACAATAAATAGTGCAAAACATCTGTATCATTCTATAGTAAATATTAGTTAATTTTGCAATACTGTTCCTCTATTTTTCTTTGTCAATTGAGATATTTATGTTAGACTGTTAAACCTGACTTTACCATGATCTAAGAATCATTATTTTCACATGTAAAATGAATTTTAGATTATTAAAAAATATAAAATATACATTGATTAAATATAAAAAAAATAAAAATTGTTTGAATAATATTTTACCAAGGATATAGATAATTGAAATTCAATCATAACGCTTTTCTCATGTCCTTCATTTTTTTAATTAAAATATACGGATTCATGCTAACATGGATTATTTAATATGGGGTATCAAGAAATTCTCCTACAAATCTATCTTCATAGTCCTAAAATGTCCTGAACAAACAGAGAGGTCAAGTTGGTAGAGACAAAAATTAACTGTGGTGCATCAAAAGTCTGTATTAATATTCCATTTGGAGGAAAAGAGCAAGAATCCAAATCATATTTTAAAAGTGTTACTGATCATTAGTAAATGGAAAACATGGGTATCAATTAAAAAGAGATGCATTATCCCTTTTGACTTCATCTGTGGAGAAAAGCTTTTGGAAACGAATTTCTGCACAGCCACCAAGAAGCTTCATAGGGAGAAAAAGGGGTTCCATGGTCAATCCACGTTCTTCAGGTTTATTGACATCCGTCATATCTGACTCAGTTGAATTCGAAGTTCACCGTACCTTTGTATACTATAAATACCCCACCAATTAATGAAACTTTAGAAGCCATTCAAAGCTTGAAAACAACCATTTTTTTCTGAAGCAAAAAGGTATGTCAATTAAAAATTAATTTCAGGTTGAAATAAGAATAACCATATTTGTTTATTTTGTTAACGTGAAGGGGGAAAAAATGGAGGATCCAAATAAAAGGAAGGAAAGGGAAGAGAAAGGAAGAGACGAAATTCGTTATAGGGGAGTGAGGAGAAGGCCATGGGGAAAATATGCAGCTGAAATTCGAGACCCTTCGAGGCATGGTGCGCGCTCATGGCTAGGGACATTTGATACGGCGGAGGAGGCTGCTCGAGCCTATGATCGCGCCGCGTTTAACCTGAGAGGTCATCTGGCTATCTTGAACTTCCCCAATGAGTACTATTCTCAAGTGATGGGATCATCATCTCGTTATCCTGCTTCAACCATGTCATCATATCTATCTTCTTCTGTTAATGCTGGTAACATCTCCGAGAGAGGAAGTTCATCATCCAGTGGACAACAAAAGCAGGTTTTTGAATTTGAGTACTTGGATGACAAGGTTTTGGAGGAGCTTCTCGAAACTGAAGAGGAGAAGAAGAAAAGAATGAAAGATTGAAATTTCTCAATGTTTTCCAAACGTTTTGGTGTGGTTGAATTTTCTTCTGCTCCTCTCTCTTTCTTTCCCCCATTTTCCAGAAAACTAGTGAACTGCAAGTATGACTTTCCCTCCCTTCTTGGTTTATGATATATATATATATATTGAATATTTTTCCTGAACAAAAGGTTTCTTTTTCTTTTTTTATCTCATTGATTATCATTTCTTGGAAGAGGCAAGTCATTTAAGCAACTATGACTGATTGAAGTGTTGAACCAATATATTTGAGAAAAATTACAGATGGAACTACTAGGAGGAATGAACAATGGTTTTTAAGGCACAATATACTCTTTATTATATATGGATTCACTTTTTGAATATCAATTTGGTAATTTATTGCTAGGTGTACATGTTAGATAAATGGAAATGTTATGTTAGACCAAATGTAGTTGTTTCATATCAATATATGGTGTTCAAGGGCCCCAAGTTTATCAAGGGGATTGTTTCTAGCTAGTTGGGTGACTAAGTTTTTCCTCTGTAAGTCAGTAAATTTCTACGGTCAAATTGGAGAAAATGGAATAGGAGGCCATTAGCAGGTTTGGGCAGTTACATTTCCACTTAACACATTTTTGCTTTTTAGCTGTTGTTGTCATCTAAATCTGGTTAGGGAGGAGATGCTCAAGTCAGTAAGCAACACCAAAATCTAGAATAGTAAAGTGCATGGAGGAGACCTAATCAGAGATTTAAATAGAGAGGATTGTTATCTGGTGTAAAGTGGAATGACCCAAGAGTAAAGCACCACTTGCAACTTTGCAAATTGGTTTCCTTTTGTATTTGGCTCAACCTGTTGTTAGTGAAGGCAGCACAGGCAATTCAAGATACTTATCACTACAGTTTTTGATTCTTGATTTTGCTGCTGAAATCATGTTTCTAGACAACAAATATGGAATCTTAACAAGAATAAGGGTTTAGATTAGTTGTCGATACGATGCCAGTGGTGATAACTGATAAGGATTTTGTGTTAAATAAAGTTGACATGCGAGAAACTATGTATTCATCTATCTACAAAATATTATCCTTTTCAGATTGCATGTCCAATTGCCTTGTACCCCAAAAAAAGAGGTATCACACTGATCAGATTAGGGAAATATTTTTTGTCAGATAATATTCAGAATCTTGTTTAAAATTATCTTCCCTCGCAAAGGCAGTGAGATGCAAAGCAAAGGCCATCAGAATCAATGGTGAGATAGATTAGAAATTAATGGGGTCTCTATAACCTTGTTAAATGCTTCTCAAAAGTTGCTTTTTTTGTGATTTTAGCAGGCATATAAATATATCCCATCCTAATTGAAGGATCTTGAATTAGAGGATGCAAAATTCTTATTCTTGCGCCTGCAATTTATGTCTTGAAAATATACTTTTACTTTATTGTAAAATGCCCCAAACGAATAAGCTTTCACCCCTTACCTTTGCTTCTAGAAACAAGTCTACTTACAAATCTAACTTGGGTTTGGAAAACTCTTTGCATATCTATTACATACTATTAAAGTAAGTCCTTAAAATCCTTTAGGAGTTAACTTTATTCGGATAAAGTTTGATCAGTCAATTACGTCCTTATGCACTATTTAAGGAAAAAGAAAAGAAGTGTTAATTAGGCCCTTAAGCATTATTAAAAAAAATAAAATAAACATTAAAATATACACTTGTTAAATCAAAAATAAAATAACATAGGATTGCTTGTAATTTTAGCATTAACAAAAAGGGTGCAGACTTTATATTGAGTATATACAGACTGATAATTGGCAAAATTTACCTCTTAAAAACAGATTTTGAATTTAAAGACCCTTTCTCCTACCTTGAATATGTTAAAGCATAAGGCCCAAAGATCACATTGGCATCGACTAGATAGAAAATGTAGTGACCTTGTATATATAGATGAGTATGCATTAATTCATTTGAAAATTAATAAAAACAAAATTGCTACTCGTTTGTTCTTGTTAAGTGTGAGTAGCATGCATGCACCATATTACAGCGGTGTGATAATAAGAAAGCTAATTGGCATCAGTGAATGCATACTCTGGGGAAAACCTTTTGGATAATTCATATTTCATGCATTAATTCGTCCAAAAGCCATATGGTAAGTACAAAAAACTTGTTACAAGAAGTATAAAAGAACTAGTGTTTTTACTGAAAAAAAAAAATACAAACAAGAAAAGAATGAAGAATCAAGAAACTGGAAGAAAAACTACTTGAAAAGGAAGGTAAAACATGAAGAGAGATGAGTACATGTGCATTCCCCATTATGTAAATAGAAAGGTTAGTCAGGATATACAAACTTAACTCATTTACAGCTGCAGGTTGATTCATTTGATGTTGATTTCTGAAAATTAATCTGATTATAGATATACAATTAGATGATGAATTAAAGCCTGCCTAGGCAAGAACTTGTCTGGCCTTATATATAACTAACTATTTGACCTTGGGTTTATGATCATGAAATCACAAATATTCCCTCCTTCCATATCATCAACAGTTCAATTGGATTAAGAAATAATTTCAAAATGCATGCATCTGCGTCTCGACGCGTTGCTTGTCCTTGCTTTGTTTAACAATTAGAATCAACATATGAAAAACATTTCTAGATTATTCACTGTGGCTGATCAAGGCCAAAACATTCATTCTTCTTTGAAAAGGAAATAAGGGAGAAAAGAAACGAAAGAAAGAAACCAACTTCATTTCATTTCAACCAATAGAAATGCCGTAAGATGATGATGATGATCTTGACCCACATTTATAATTATTGTCCATATATAATTTAGATAGCGACAATATATTCCCCGATACATTATAAAACAGAGGGGGGGCTTCACTCTAATTAATGTTGTTGATGTAAAGTATTTTCTATGAAATATAAGTGCTTTAGTTACCGAAGGAGAAAATCAGGAAAGACTTTGGAGATACTCTCGACCAGTTAAATTAAGAGACCAAGAAACTCTACTGTTGATGTTGGCCCGGGACCTTGACAGCACGCCATCACCGCCCTTTCACTTTTTCTTGCTCTTTTTCTCCTCATTTTCTAGAAGTTCTTCGAGCAACTTATCATCCAAATACTCTATCTCGAAAACTTGTTTGCCTCTCTCCATTGCCGATGATGATGAAGAAGAAGAAGAACCCACGGAAGACGAGCTATTATAATTTGCATTACCGCCGCCGCTAGCCATTGGATACTCCTGCGGGAAGTTGAGAATTGCTAAGTGACCTCTCATGGAATAAGCGGCTCTATCATAGGCTCGAGCCGCCTCCTCAGCCGTGTTAAAAGTCCCGAGCCAAACACGAGCCCCGTGCCTATTGGAGTCGCGTATCTCAGCCGCAAACTTCCCCCAGGGCCGCCTACGCACGCCCCGGTATCGTGTCTCGCCGCCTTCCTTGTCTTCCTTGCCCCTAGAACCACCCTCCATGGCCTAATTAAGCCTTTCTGAGTTTGTTGTGTTTGCAAAGCTTTTGTATTTTCTGCATGGCTGATGCGAGTGGACATAGGCATTTTATATGAGTGGAAAAGTGAACCCTAGGGGTTTGGCAGTACTCTGGGTCCACAATGAGACACATGGGGGAATCTTACGGCCAAGAATTGCTGGCACGTGGTTATCAGAAATTGGATTAAGTTAATTTGTGTCCAATGTATCTGGATGGTCAAGGTGATGGCTTTGGAGTTTTACGACCCCTTTTCTCTTTTTATGGTGTCACTGTTGCCATGTTTGATTCTTGTTTATTTTATTGAGGAAGAGGGATGGTACAACAGAAACAAGATTTGTTGGCTTAATGTCACAAAAAAACTTGTCCACTTCATCACACGTGAGCCAGTTTTTCCATGAGGTCATGTAGCTTGCGTTTCTCTTTTTGTACGTTCTTTTACTAGTCTTGCGGTATAGAGACTTGACAGAATTCTTGCTCCATATCTTATAATTGGGCAAATCACGTCGAGGGAAAGTAAAAAAAATATTTTTTTTAAAAAAATTAAAATACTAATAATTAAATATGTGACACAAATTGAGTTCAAACTCCACAGTTTAAAAAGAAAGATTCAATATACCCAACTCAACCATGAACATATTTTAACATGCAAGTTTATTAAAATTGTAATTTAATATATAAAAATAATATCACATTTTTTGTAAAGTGTTTGTAAACTGCAATGTTATCTTTTTAAAATTATAATAAATATTTTCTTATTAATATCAAATGTTTGTAATACTGTTTTTTCGGTAATTTAATATTTAACAATTGCATTCTACCGAAATTATGAGACAATAAAACACCCAACACCACCTTAAAAATTTTCATTTTGGTTGTGACCAAAGTTAAAGATATAAAAGCTACTACTTAAATCTAAATTTAGTTATAATTCATAAATTTCTAACTATCAATTAGGCTATTAGATGAATTCAAATGACATCTTGAATCTTGATTGATTTCTTTCTCATTTTGTTTGGAGGAAATGAGGCTAATCGACTTTATCTATTAGGATATACTTCCAAACTAAATTTTCATAGTGAATGACAAATGGTGCCCATAACTCTTTATTTCTTCCTTTTCAGCTTCTTAGAACTACTTTTATAGTGAATGGTTTCTTTCAAGCTATCTAATGGAAGATGTGAAACATCAAGTTGTGTTGAAATTAAAGCACAGTAATGACTTTCATCGGTAACTTGTAAGAAATGAGATAAAGATAATCTAACATCAATTAATGAGACGTTAACTATATATGTTTGCTTTGCATGCAATTAATACATTTCGGATATCTCCTATTATTTTCTCCTAAAGTAAATTATTAGTCACAATTAGGTTAAAATTTTTAGTCACATGACTGACTAATGCTTTTCATATCAAACCCAATTATCATTTAGTACTATTAATATATTAGGTGAACTATCCTTTTAGACAAGTAATACAATTTGGATTTGCTGGCTTTTTTTTTTTTAAGAAAATTTCTTGACGCAACAAAAAAAAGAGTATAATTCTTGTCAAAGGGTTAGATTTTTCCAAAGCTTTTTGAAAGTTGCACAAAAGTACATATTGACTAAGTTTTCACATCAATTCGAACCATTGGATTGGCCTTCACACAAGTAATTCAATTCAAAATTGTCATGTTATATTTAATTTTTATATTCAAGTTAATTTTAT